ATAAATAAAAAATTGTCATAATTTTCTTTTTTTTTTACAATTAAACACCGGTATAAGTACATTCATCATACATTTCCATATTTTAATTTTTTAAGTCTTTATATCATTCCAATAATTAAAATAATAGTTTACGGACAATATTTAAATATAATATTTGCTAAGTATTATTGGGTTACAAAAATTGTTTAGAAGACATTTCTGTCAAAGCATTTCTGTCAATTTCACGGTTCCCCGCAAGGAATTTAAATTAATTTGGCCAATTCCTTGATGATGAGAATCATCATTCCTGTAGTAGTGTTATTGAGAGAATGACCGATTAATTCCTTGCTAATTTATTGGATGCTAAGTATTATTGGATCGAGAACATAGTTTGTGTTAGTTTTACATATATAAAATAAATGGACACTTTGGATGTGGTCCTTAACTATCAATATTTTTTTATTGAAACCTTGTTAGTTTTTAGTTTTTGATTGAGATCCCTGACATTAATGTAATAATGTAAGTTACTATATTTTTTAAATTAAAAATTGAAATTTGTAATTGTTTATATTAATGAGATTTTAAATAAAACCCATAATTTATGGGATTAAAAATAATAAAATATAAATTATACTCTCTATTATATTGTGTGTGTGTGTGTACATATATGTACGGGTACATTAACCAAAATTAACAAAAAAATTTATTGTACCAAAACATGGATACATTCTCAAATCAACGAAAAAGAATGTACCCATATAAGTTTAAACATGGATTAAAAAATTTGCAAGGATTTTATATTAAAAAAGGGTACATTTTACATATAACTAATTTTTGATATATTTGAGAATGGGTACATTTAAGATTAAAAAAATTGAAAAATTATATGAATGGGTACATTTAAGATTAAAAAATTGAGAATCTTTTTATATATAAAAAAAAACTAATAGGTACAAACTTAATTTAATTTAATTTTTTTATTATTTTGGAAATGTTTGAATTGAAAATTAATTAGAAGTTTAATAGAGGTGTGAATATTAAACCCTAAATTAATTACTAATTTTTATATTAAAAATTATATAATAAACATGTAAACTCATTATCACATTAATGCTAGGGACTTGAATCAAAATTTAAGAACTAATAAGGTCTTAGTCAATGAACAGTAAGAACTAGGGACCGGATACTAATTTTTCCTAAAATAAATGGGTAAACGATTACCTGTTTATAACCGCGGTTAATACCCATAACCGCCCATTTAAATTTCGCAGGTAAACGGTTATACCCATAACCGTTTATTTATCTAAACAGTTACCCATAACTGTAACCGTTTAATTTAAATGGACGGGTAACCGCGGTTACCCATAACCAATAGGTAATTGCCCATCCATAGCCACAAGACCAACCAATCATGTCTTGTCACCTAATTATTAGTTATATACTTGAAAGTTTAAAACCTAAATATCAAAAATGAGAAAAAAGGAAAAACACTACAAATCCCTCCCCAATTAGGACCCCGATAGTCCCCTTAGCCTCATTCCTTCACGGCGGTGTTGCCTATCTCTCTCAGTACCCTCCACCGCCTCTACAACAATCAACCCAATCAAAAATCCAATCGGATTCAAGGTCCAATTTCCATGGATAATCCTTTCTTAGGGTTTAAAGATTCAATCTTTTTCGTCCAAGTTATTTGAAATCTTGCCAAATAGAGGTATTCTCATACATCTCATGTGGATGTTACTTGCTCTAGCTGGCAAACATCAATCGAGAATGGAGAAGCTCGAGAATAGATTGGTTCAGTGTTTAGGGGACTCATTATGCTGCTACCTGATGCGAAAATTAACTTAACACACAAATTTAACCCTCTTTTGACAATTGTAATATAAGTATAAGTAGAGATCGTTCTGGACCGGGGATTAGGAGGGCTTGCTAATAACCTCTAAACTGACTCAAAAACATAAAACTAAACTTAAAAATACTTAACAAGACTCACAAGACTCAAAGCAAACTTAAAATACTCAAAACAGCTTAAAACAACTAAATAAACTTAAACTAGACACTAGGAATGACTTTGGACGAAAAATGACTTTTACTTGAATCAAAACATTTAAAAACACAAATTAAAACAGATTCTAACTAATTAGACACCCTAAAGTAAAGGGGGATTGAGTTTTGGATGAAGTTGAAACAAATAAACAAACAAGTATGAAAAACTAGACAAATTGTAAAACAAATTTGAGAAATAAGATGATGGATGGGATAGCTAAAGGTTTTTTCTCCACACATGACATGTATGCAAATAACTTAATTTCCAGTTACTACTTCATTGAATTATGAATGACAATGCTCCAAATTAACAGTGACATCACTAATTAACTCTCAGATTTTCCTTGTTTTATTGGATTGGATGACATCATTCGATAACCCAAAACATTCTTCAAAAGTTCCCTACATGACATCATAATAGAGATACAATAAAAAATCATTACGTTTAATGAAAATCATAAGCATTGACAAAACACTTGCAACTATGACATCATGTCACTCATGCTAGGAATTGAACTTAACGCGATCATTTATAAGCGACCTTCACTACATGTGAATATAAGTTTGTAACGATTATGTGAAACTTCCTTATATTCTAGCAACGGATTTATGCATGTTAATTAAGTGTCGACCCTTAATTAACAAATACAAATAAGTTATCAATCAAATAGTTAAGCCAATTGCATTTACGATTCAAGAGTTCATAACTGGAATTTATCAAATTATATTGCACACATAATCATGGCTTTGAAATCACCCCTAGCCAAGAGGGGTTTAGCCACTCATATTTACAACAAAACGAAAGGAAATGAATTTAAACATTAGAAACAAAAGAAAGAAAACACCTAAATGCTTCAATGATCCAAGTTGGACAACAAGCACGTCAAAGCACTTTCCTTCCATTCCTTTGCTACGGCACAAGGTGTTGGTGAGTGTTTGAAGGTTTGTTTGTATGGAGGAATGGATGTGAAGATGAATGGATGTGTTTGGATGAAGGTTGTGTTGAAATGGGAGTGAATGATCTAAACAAGTATGAACTCCATTTATGTTACACACACTTCCTTTTATAGAGGAAGTGCAAGGCAAAACATGGGTAAAATGGAGTGGTGTTGAAATGATTGAAAGGTGAAAGTGAAGTAACAAATGGAGTGGTGTTGAAATGATTGAAAGGTGAAAGTGAAGTAATGATGCAAAGTATGGGTAAAATGGAGTGGTGTTGAAATGATTCAAAGGTGAAAGTGAAGTAATGATGCAAATCATGGGTAAAATGGAGTGGTGTTGAAATGATTGAAAGGTGAAAGTGAAGTAATGATGCAAAGCATGAGTAAAATGAAGTGGTGTTGAAATGATTCAAAGGTGAAACTGAATTGATTATTGATGCAAGAATTAAACATGGATGGAGTGCATGGCAAAGGTTTGTTATGGTACAAGGAACCCTTAATTTGTGTCCTAAAATGCATGTGAAACCTTCAATGTTGTTGGAACTTAGGGACATTTAGGATTTAGGAAAGATCAAACCAAAATAGGAAACCTTGGCTTAACTTTCCTACTTCAAGTAGGAATCCTCATCTTTAGGTCTTCAATTTCGTCCATTCCTTTAGTTCCAAGCATGTGATATTTATTCCAATCCCAAAATTGCTCCAAAAGGCTCCAAAATGCACATTTTTGCATACTTTGTCCTTAGAACCTGAAATTGCACAAAAATGACTTTAAACACTAAAACAACTAAGGAATAACAACATAAATGCATGAGAACAAGATAACTCAGTCGCATAAATATGCTCTTATCACTACCTACCAAAGCGGTTTGGGGACGTGGTGCTGTTGCGATGGTTGTGACCGAGACTGGGTGCTGGTTGTTGATGCGGTGTAGTTTTGACGGTGCTAGTATGTTTAGGATAGGGTTTTTAGTGGTGGTGGTGCGGTTGGGCCAATGATTTGGGGTGTTGGTGGCGGCATGGCTAGGTTTTAGGGGGTTAGTGCGACTATTCTGGGGATTTTTGTAGTTGCAGAATTTTGTTTAATGATAATTGTACATTTTTAAAGCAAGGAAATTTTGAAGAATAAAGATGTAGGGTTATTTTGGGACTAATGGTGGGTGAGGAAAGAGTTTATGTGTTTTTTACACTTTTTAGAGAGGGTGTGAATATAATGTGGGTGAGAAGATAAGACAATGAGGTAGGCATAACACCACTCTTTAACTTAATTAGCTAACATTGATTGATATTTTCAAGCGGACAAAAATTCGTACAAAGCTTCCGACTCCTGTTATATGTGGTAAAGTTTTTAAAAGAATTTAAGACTTTTTATATTTACTCGACTCCATGTTGGTTCTATAAAGTCTAAGAGTTGCCCTAACCTGCAACGAAACATTTTCAAGTCGTAAACTCCTAGTTTGTTCATGAGTTCACAACTTAAAATCTAAAGGCTCTATGACCAATCATGTACTCACAAGGAAATATACCAAGTTCAAAAGTGAATAGAGATTCTTGGCTATATGTATATTGCTCGTCTTTCAAATCGAAAAAAATATATACAACTAATTATAAAACAGATTTAACCAATACAAGCAACCACTTGAGGGCTGATAGCTAAACCAAAGATCCATTACAATCTGATACCGTATGATAACGTCATAATAATACTAGCATTTGTCCACACTTTGTGTGTAAAAACACTTTTTTTTAAAAAAAAATGGGAAGGGGAGAGTGAGAGCGAGAGCGTGGGGTGGGAGTGAGAGGGTTTTTTTTTTATTTATTTATTTTAATATTAGATATATCTTAACATCATCGATAAGTGAGGATTCAATAGAAAAAGTAAAATTTAGATCTGCGAAGTTACAATTTTGGCCATCATATTTTTTTGTGTAATAAAAGATTAAATAAGTCTTTTCAGTTTTCACTCTCTTTTGGTTGATAGATTTTTATTATTATTAATAAGTAGTTCAGATAGGCAAACCTCCTTTAAAGATATTTAAAAAAAATTAACTAATCCTAATTAAAATACAAACTAAACGACAGCTTGACAACAAACAAACAAACAAACAAATAAACAAACAAACAAACAATCAAAGATTACAAAGGCAGCTACTGCTACTACACGCTAAAAAAAAGAGAAAAAATACCCCTCAAGCTAATTATCGACGTTTAAGATGTCAAAAGGGTATTTTTGACTTTTTATTATTCTTTTGCACATTTAACTGGGGCAGACAAGTTTTGAGACATCCTTGCTAGATCTGTTGTATTTCATGTGGCTCTTGACTAGCTGTCCCGCTGCAATTGCAGACATCAGCGAAAGTTCTCCGGCGAGCACTGAGCCCGCGACAATGGTGGCCAATTTTCTAGAGTTTGAACCGGGCGAGTCTCTGCTTGCACCCTTCACACCCAGCAGGTTCAGGCAGGCTGCTTGTGATGCAAGCTGGGTTCCTCCTCCAACCGTTCCCACCTGAGAAAGTTAATTAAAATTTAGTTAAATCGAGATTGCTGGGTTTAGTTGGGTGTCAATTAAGCACTAATTATAGTTGTATTGTACCTCAATGGAAGGCATGGTGACGGAGACATGAAGGTCCTTGCCGTCGTTTATGGCTTCCATCATGGTGATGCAGTGAGAGCTCTCAACATTCTGAGCCGGATCTTGGCCGGTGGCGATATAGATCGCGGCGACAATGTTGCTGGCGTGCGCATTGAACCCACCAAGAGCACCGGCCAATGCAGAACCAGTAAGGTTCTTAAGCATGTTGAGCTCCACCAAGGCAGCCACATTTGTCTTCAGTACCTTCCTCACCACCTCTTCCTTGATCACTGCCTCACACACCACTGACTTTCCTCTCCCTTCTATCCAATTCACCGCCGCCGGTTTCTTGTCGGAGCAGAAGTTTCCTGCGCAGTCCGGAGCAAACACAAACTAAATCAACGTAATTGATACAGTAAATATATACAACTTATGTTGATATCTAATCACATATTCAAATCTGACGATGTAAACATCTTATGTTATCAAACCAAGATAACATTTTCTATACGCAAAAAGAATATTCGCATGATCAAATCGAAAACCTACCTTGAATTAATTAGGTGTCCATGTAATATTGTAATTTGTATGCCTTGGTAATTTTTAACGAATGAGGATCCTCTCCAAATCCTCCAATCGTATCCGTTCATCGTATATCGTGCGGTTAGAAATCATTGTAAATTTTTTTATTTTATCAAACATATAAACAATATCTGACAAAAACTGGCCACGATTGGGGGATCCCCGAGATCTTCGTTCATTTTTAACTTACATTATCATGTGAGTATACCACCCATCGTTATCACCAAGGTATATCCAGTGTTTAAAATAGTGGTATCATTGAAAATATTTATATACAAATTTGTGGATATGTCGATATCAATATCATTTGGCTTTGATGGAAATGATAGAAATTGGTTTAAAAGCTAAAAATTTAAAATGAAACTTTAGGTATTATCAAACACTGATTTAAACGAAATATAAGAGTTTCTCCAATATTTACTCAATATGTCGAAAATATCGAGAAATCTGTTGATTTTAGCCAAAATTTAAAAATTTCTCATATATGGGACCGTATCGAAAAATTGTCAAACACTGTATATATCTACTACTCATCACAAAAATACCTTCTTGGCGACATGCAACTTCCAATGACATGTGAGAATCTCCCAAAACGAAGACTGAAATGTAAATTATGGACAAAAAGAAGAGGAAGAGAAAGATTAATCAAGTAACTAATACCAGAGATGCCAATAATATCCATGTCAGGGAAGTCGCTTTGGAGGAAATCTAGAACGTTTTGGACGCCTTTGGAGACCATGTTCATCCCCATAGCATCTCCAGTGCTGCAAGTAAACCTCATGTACACATTCTTCCCTGCTATCGAGCATTGAATCCTCTGAAGCTTCGCAAATCTACTTGATCTGAACAGTGCATATGCAGTCAAGTCAACAAACAGAATTCCAAATTATTAATTTTTATTGTATCATAAATTAATACATAATTAATAATTAACTCTCCACTTAAAAACAATATGGTAATTGTGTGATTATCTAAGAAGAATAAAGTTAACCAACTTTTAGTTAGTAACAAGATCATTTTTTCAAACATTCCTCCTCTTCCTCTCGCCAAAAATAATACAAAGTCGCCCTCCATGCACATGCAATGCCCGAAATAAAAGGTGTTGACTTGGCTCCCGAAATAACAAAAACCAAAAAAATGTAAGTTAGGTGAGTTGGTAAGAAAAGATTTTTCAGTGTGCCAGGATTCGGTTCTATACATTAAGTGTAATAATATAATTAGTTTAATTATTTGGAAACTTGAAAAAAAAAATTCAATCAATTATATTATGAAACTTAATATTCCATTGCGGTTTTCCGGCGTAATAAAAAAATTTCTATTGTTAAGGGTGTGTGTGACCCTCTCTTGTAGTCGAGTTTGAACCCTTCTTCTGTTAAGTCAGAATAATCTATAAATAATAATAATAAAATCTATAACGCTTTATAATATCATTTTGCAAAATAAAAGAATAAAAGACTCACCAACTTGTGTTAAAGGACGAAAATTAAATTTAAAAAAAATTAAAATACGAAATATTGCAGCTGAAATTCGAATTATTTTAAAAAACAAAAAGACCAAAGCAGTAGAAATGGTGAAGATAACCCGTCCGTACCGGTTGAAAACGACGGCGAGTGTATCAAAGTTGAGCAGGTCCTCAACGAAGAACTTGAGTTCGGACGCTCTGGCGGCTGAGCTGAACCGGACAACGGGAGCTCGGGTCATACCGTCCTTGAGAACCACGCTGCGGGCCCCGCCGGACATGAGGATGGCCTTGCATCCCCTATTGGTACTGGCCACCAAGCACCCCTCCGTGGTCGCCATTGGCACCGTGTACTCCTCCCCGTCGATCAGCAGCGGCCCCACCACTCCCACCGGGATCTGCACGTACCCCACCGGCATCTCGCAGCATTGCCCCAGTATCGCCTCGTAGTCGAACCCTTCCAGCGGGAGGCCATCCAGCGAACTACCGGTCGTCCGCTGCAGGGCCTCGCGCCGTATCGCAGCCGCCCTCCGGCAGTCTCCGAGGGTGGACTCGAGAGAGTACGAAGGCGTAGTTCCATCGACGACAGACTTGATGATTTCCTCGTCATCAGCCGACAACGCCGGCGACTCGTAGGCGGCGGAGGTGGCGGAGGAGGGGAGTGCGGTTAAATTGATAGAACTATTTTGCCGGACTACGACGTCATCGTTCCAGGGGCCGTGGGCGGCGCTGGAGTTGGGGGAAACGAAGGACTGGACGAAGTCAATGCCGAAGAAGCCGAGGAGGTAGATGATGGAGGCGAACAGGGAGAAGAGGGCGGCGAGCTCGGACAGCGTGACGACGTGCAGCGGCGTGGAGCTGCGGATCTTCTCGCGCCACCGGTTGAGGAGGAAGTAGGCGACGGCGAAGAAGAGGGTGAAGAAGAGGCCATTGGTGAGGTAAAGCGGCAGGGGAAGCGCATCGGAGGCCTTGAGCAGCTGGTTGTCGGATTTAATGGGTTCGCCGGCTGCAGAGGCGGTTGGGGGTCGCCGGCGAACTGCCATTATTAGAGAGAGAAATAAGGGGGAAATAAGTAATTAAGGAATTAATTAGGCTAAGTAAAAGAAAAGGGAGGGATTAGAGGTGGGGGTTTATTTAATTAATTTGGATTTTGTTAGGGGGAGTTTGCTAATAAATTAGCTGGAACGGGGTAAGGGCGGAGAATTTGGACCCCTTTTTTATAGGAAGATGAAAGGAGGGAGTGAAGTGGGAGTGGCGGGTCCCACTCCCACACGTGCTTTGTGGTTGCGCGTGTCGGGCTTTGCCTCTACGGATCTATGGATCCAATAGGATCTCATCATGGAATTTTTTTAGTGTGGCAGTCAAATTTTGATAAATGTATTACTATTTAACGTGTTATAATAAAAGCAGATACAAAAGTTACAAATTTATGTTATAATATTAATAAAATAGATTCAATTTCAAATCTTAGGGTTTATTGCTTCAGCTCATAAACCCCTAAGCTTTTAACAATTGAATCTATTATCACCACAACTATAACCTAATTGGTAGAACTGAAAATCGTAATCGGAATCTATTAGGTAGGGCGATTAATAATTTATTATTAATTTCTTGTCCACGTGGAGCAAAGTTGACATTCATATTCATAAAACTGCAATCCCCATGTTAGCTACATTAGCAGTTATCGCCCAAATTGATAGAAAATTTAACGGATATCTAACATTGCAACGAATTTGTAAGTTGATGTATGACATTGCAATGTTTAAAGCATAAAATATGAGTTTATTATGTGATCTAAAATTGAAGTATTATAGCCACTCAGTACAACAGTTTAGTGATATTCCTCTTCACTTAGAAGTAAGAGATCTTCGGTTTGAATCTTGTGAATGGTGAATTCGATACCAAATTACGTTGCTTATTTTGTAGTTTAACTTAACTCTTCTACTCTTAGTGTAAAAATATCGATGAATTCAAAAAATTAAAATAGTATAACGTAATTTACCTATAATTTAATTAATTACCGTACCAATTATAGTTCCGTTTGAGCTTCGATATGCTTTAGGGTTAATCTGGACCCATTGAGCCCGACTACTTATTAGACCACGTTAAGTCATGTCGGGAAGATTCTAAAAAAGGAAAGAGAAAAAAATAAATAAAACAAAAAAATAAATAAAAATAACAACTCAGCAGCCATATTTCTCAGGGCCTGAGCGATCGAATGATTAGCAACTTCCTTTTGGCGTCGTCAGTCGTATTTCCGGCAAATCACTGCAGCTTTTTACCCTCCAAAATTCCCGAAATTCCAAATCGGCAGCGTTTATCTGATCGAATCCCTTCTGGGTTTTGCTTTTCAATCCTCGAATCGAATTGGGTTAATTTCAATTTCAAATTTTTGATTTGATCCAATCTCTGATTTCAATTCTCTGAAAGCTCTGTTTCTGTCTTCAACTTTTCAAAACCTTTTCTGTCTCTGTAGAGTCCAGTACTAGGGCTGTTGGCAGTGGGTAGGGTTTTCTGAAAGCGAAAAAGGCAAAGAGCAGAAGATCATGGACCTCAGCGCCTTCTGGGACCACGTGTCCGTCACGTGACTCTGAGAATTTCCCTTTTGTTTCAGTCGTCGTCTTCCTTGATCCTCTCTTCTCTCTCCCTCTCCCTCTCTCTCTCTCTCTCTCTCTCTCTCTCTATGTTTGTGTGTATATGGCTTACCAGCAGCAACAACAGCAAGGAGGGGCTCAGCTGTTCAATTCCCCGTTCGGGGACACGACGTTGACGAAGGTGTTCGTGGGGGGATTGGCCTGGGAGACCCAGAGCGACACTCTACGACGTCACTTCGAGCAGTTCGGCGAAATCCTCGAGGCTGTCGTCATCACCGATAAGAACACCGGCCGATCCAAAGGCTATGGCTTTGTCAGTACTCAATCACCCATCTCTCTCATCTTCCTAAAAGTATGAAACAATCGATCAAATTTTGATCAATTTGAGATTAATCAGCTTTTTTTGGTTTCTGGGTTGTTTTTGTTTGGAGGGTTTAGGTCACATTTCGTGATCCTGAATCTGCAAGAAGGGCTTGCTTGGATCCCAATCCTGTGATCGATGGCCGCAGAGCTAACTGCAATCTTGCTTCTCTGGGTCGTCCCCGCCAACCTTTCCTTTTTCATGGTATATTTTTAATCTATTTCTCATTGTGTTTTTTGTTTTCCTTGCATTTTTGTTCTGCTGGGTACTTAGGAACTGCATTTCTAATGCTGTATTTGCAATCGAATTGTTGCTTTGGTTGATTGGATTGCAGGGCAAGTGAGATCACCAGCTCCAATCCTCGGCCGCGTGCAGCCGCCTAGAGCTGCTTACATGGGGAGCCCCAACCCTGCTTACCACCACCCTATTCCTCATGGTTACCAGCCCGGGTTCGTGTACCCGTCTTATGGGTGAGTTTTAAATTTAGAAAGCTCTTGGCTTTAGATGTTCATCTCAAGCTTACCGGTTGAGGCCATTTGGGTGTTGGGTGCTGGGTGTTGGAGCTTATGCAATTTGACTCCTTTTGTCTTGACTGCAAGAGGCAAAATTTCATTCCAGAACTCACTACAACTATCTGATCGAGTGTCTTTTCTCGCCAACCATTTCCTCAGCATTCAAATTTTTGAAATTTGAGCTATTAAGTAATCGTTTTGAGTACCTAAGACTGAAACCTTAGCTAGCGAAGGTCATTTTACAGGTGATAATATAAATTGTGTATTTGGGGGAGGCTTTTTGTCAAAGTGTGTTTATCGTTTATCGTATGTTGAATGTTGGGTGGGATATGCTTGACTACATAGAAACTTACTAGCATTAAGCTGTGTAAAACCATGGAATCACATTGTAATGAAAATCTTATTTAGTTTGCTTTGTAGCTTTATGCATGTGCTGTAGTATTTCATCTCTTCTGCTCAAGGAACAAAGCGTTTTGTGTTATAGTAGTACTCCCATTGTTTTTTGGACACTTATGGTGCCCATCTTTGAAAAGCTTGAGAGGAAGCTTGGGTTCCTTACGTTGTTGAAATTCCATGTGGCTGTATGATCTCAAGAGGTTCAAGAATTTCTGTTTTGCAGGTACACAGGATATGGACCTGAATTTGTCTACCCACAGGTCAATACTTTAATATGTCATTCCACAGCTTTTATTTGCGATTTTAAAGAGTAAAAGAACAATGCTTGATTGTTCGAAAGCTAACTAAGCCGGTTACCAACTTTTGTTCATCAACTTTCGCCAGGGTGCCTACAGTCCTTACATGACTCAGCAGCAATACCTTCAGATATATGGGGTACCAGGCACAGTCAACCCTGGCGTATATTCATATGGACAATTGGGTCAGTCACTCCCTGGAAGCCATGGATATGCAACAGTTCAAAACTATGGAGTTCCAGGTCATCATGTAATGCAATTCGGTGGGGCCAATGTCGGTGCAGCATCCCCAGCTGCCATTCCAACGATTCAAACACCATATCCTGCAGGCAACATTCTCTTCCTAAAACCCTTCTTCCCTTTTACAAGAATGATAACCTTCATTGCAATTTATTAACATGTTATCAGTACTTTCCTGATACTAAAATTTTTATGAGCCGATCAGATAAATGTTCCAAGTACCACAATTTTTTTTATAAGATCAACTACCACATATGAAAGTCGCGTAATGAGATTTTCTCTTAAAAAATCTTTTTTTTTTTCCTTGATTTATGGTAACTCATTTTGCATTCAATGCCTGCGTACCTGATTTCAGCATTGCCGCACTGATGGAAGTTGGCAAGAAGAGATGTGCAGTTATAATAATTCAAGTCTAATAGTCAGTGATTCTGGTTTGCTGGTTTTTTCAGGTATAGTTGCACCAGCTCCAGGACAGACGCAGTATATGCTTCCTACTAATTCTCCTCAATTCACCAGTGGTTCCGATCAAACTGCAGGTTGAGTGGTAAATCAGAAGGGTCACTTCTGGAGGTAGAGATTGTCACCTTGTCCACCTTTTTATTAAACATATCTGCATAATTACACTGGAAATCCGTCTTTGTCGGGGATGCAGGTAATCCTTATTGCAGCAGGACTATGAGAAGCTACTGCTACCTAAGTGGCAGCCTCTAAATCTAGCCTTGCAAGTTATTATCTTTACTTTCTAGAGGTGACACCTGTTTTCCCTTATAAAGTAAGATTTTACTCGTAGCATAGAATCGTAGCTTATGACAAATTCCAATTTAAATCGAACCTCTGTGGGAAATTTTTGCATTGCAACACGGATAGTTGTGTTTGGAATCGATAATGATGCTTTAGAACTGTTTGACCTGAGATTCTTTTACTTTTAGCTTTATTGTTACGTGAGTTTCTGTCGTAGTGCCATTTCACCATATCCGTGATGAGAGATAGTGACACGCATGTGGATACACCCTCGATTTCCCCCTTTTATTTATTTTTTGAATCTAGCAACTTCCCAACTATGTGGAATTTTAGTCACATCTGAAACAGGGCTTTTTACTATAACCAGGAAATCAGGGATCAAAGCACATGGGACCGAATACCATATACAATACATAAATACATACATACATAGACATATATATATATACACACACACACACACAGTCATACCCTCGTTTTTTTTTTTTTTTTTTTTTCTGGTTTGTAAATTCTTGTGACTATATATGATATGTTTAACTAATGCAGGTCATTCATGGTGGTCATCGGAGATACTTCAAAGTCAGCTGTTAGATGTTAAAGAGGATGGAAGAGCATCATGGGTTGTTGCTTTTTTCACCTGGTGGTGTCTGTAAAATATGCCGTTGCAGTGCCACGTGGCTCAAAGCCGCTTGGCACGATATTATGGGTCATTGCGTGTTTGCCGGAAATATGGTTTTCCGGCAGACGCAGCGTAATAAGACTGTAAATGTGTAAATAACCCTAAACTTTCTTCTGTATCAAAGAAAGAATCAATACGATTCGTTTCATGGACTCTGGACCCAACATATGGGTTCAGTCATTGTCGAGTCTCACACATTGTATTTACCACCGAAAAAAAATCATTGTTCAAATTTGAATTTCTCTATTCAATTGGCGCTTCTTCATTTTCCTTTGGGTAATATTGAGGGAGTCTTAACGAAACTCATGATACTGTTCATGTTTAACGTTAAAGATATTTTTACTCTAAAATGTCACTTCTGGTACTATTTACTAACAACATTTTTTCGTCATTTTGGTTAAAACTCAAAGTTTTAAAGTCATTTTTATTAGTTTTCCTTAATATTATTGGAGCTTCAACTTCTTCTTCCTCTTTATACTATTTCGTTTCATTATTTATTGGTGTGAGATTAATATAAATGATATCCGTGTTTGCGGAAGAAAATCCGTCATCTAAATATTTTTGCATGTGACTGTCGCACCTTCATGTTACATGGCTGGATGGTAACACTAATTTAGATTAGAACTCGGAATTTTGAGAATCTCTATATGCATTCTACTATCTATTCAATCTTTTAAAAAATATTTGGATTCAAAATCAAAATTTTAATGCCCAACTTCTAATCTAACTTGCATTCTTAGCGGAAACAAAAAGGACATGTGAAAATCATTTATCGAGAATTGATGGTGTACCTAAAAAAATCTTGGGTGTGAGTTTGTAGAAGCCCAAAACCAAAAGCCTACTGCAATAAGGCCCAATATTCCCAACTGAACACCGATGAAATTGAGAATATGTAGCTACATTAACGCATCAAGCATACATTGGTTCAACTACTCACTGATAGTTGTATAGCTTCTGCGGTGTCGGCCGGGTGACAATGATCGGAATTGACCTTGGTTCAACTACTTTCACTGACGGTTGTAGCTTCTGCGTCGGCGGGGCGACGGTGATCGGAATTGACCAGCGATAACTCGTATTTCAGATTTATGCCCAGTTTCTTGCAAACTCACAGATTGAGTTAAAACAAGTTGGACAAATTTAATCAACCCTCGCAACATTTTTTCGCATCTGTAAACATAATCATTGCCGTTTAGGGTTCCAAGATTTGGGATAACAAGGTTGGATCACGAGGAATTCGAACTCGGGTGCATCGCAAGACCATAACGTCCAAATTCAAAACTTTATATTTGATTAAATTCTTGGGAGTGCAGGAGAACAGTGCTCCATAACGTTACATAACACAACCAAAAAATAACTAGAAGCTGAACTCTACCACAACACATCTCACTCATCATCAGCTCACCACATTCCCCCGACGACGGGGCTAACTGCGGCCAGCACAATATCTGTTTGTACAAACAATACAGTTTTCATGCTTCTTTCGTAAAAGAGATGGGAAAGGGTTACGCGTTTTAGTTTACAGAGACTCCGGACTTGTCGACGGTCTAATTCTTGAAGGCATCCGCATGGGTTGTTTTATTGCACCACCAAATGTACTATGCAAGGAATTCTTCGGTGTGATGGACATTTTGTTCAACGCGGAGTCGAATTCATCGAGATCATAATGCTGTTGCAAAATCGCATAATCCATTCCGTCCACATTTTCATCCGCGACAGCGTCACCTATGTCTTCATCACTGGAATCTTCGTCATCGTCATATGTAGGGTGAACCATCGACCAGAAAATGAACTTCGGCCGGATGTATCTTTAGATAAAGGAAAAACTAGTGTCAGCAAAGGTTTCAAAACAGGTTTTAAGCATTTGAATCTTACGGCTAACAAAGCTTTCCTTTTTGACCTCGAAAGTTCAAAGTTAATACAAACCTGTCACTTTTCTTCAGCAAGCACGGGTCAAATGGGAAGAACATGTCTAGCCTTTCCCTCCCACCAAATTCCTTTGAAAGTTCTGATTCCAGATAGTCATCGAAATCGAATTTGTCAAGTGTCATGAATAAACCAGCTGCTTTTGATTGCCGTAGAAACTCGTTTACTATGGAAGGCAGACACACCTTTCAAAATGGAGAACAAAATTAAGCACAATGATGCAATAGTTTTAGACATTAAAGAATCCTTCTCGAATGGTATGAAGGAGAATCAAAGATCGAGGGAATAGAAAGATAAACGAAATAATTATAATGCAGCCCATTTTTGTACAGGGTGGAACTCATGTAAACGGTCCTCACCTGCAGCGGGCTCAATTTATTATTCAAAACAGACTCCAAAGGCAGACGAAGAAGCCATGACTTCAGCAGAGGAACATCCATCATTGACCTCATTCGGAAGCAAAGCAAATACATGATAGCCTGTTGGATGAGTAAATCGGCATCAATGGAATTATACAAGTAAATAAATTTGATATTGCAAAACATAGATATAACATTCAAGTAACTTAAGCATAGAAGCAAATGAATCACATGATGCAACTAATAGCATAGGGAAAATTGCAGTTTGAATGTCCAAAAGTTGCGGACTTAGTTCCAGAACTAGATATGGAATCTTCCCTCAGATAGTGTAGAGATACGATTGAATGTCAACAAAAGTTTGACTTGGCAATTCGATATATAAACCAAAAAACCAAATTTCAAAACAAAAACATATTTCAATATGAAATTCACTTGACTAAACAGTTGTTTACCCTCTTCACACGATATATTGAAAACTAAGAAATCTGAAATATTTATTATTATGTCTGAAGAACTGATTCCATAGTGAAACAAAACAAACCTGACATCCTGAATAAAACACTCTATGAGCTTCTGGATTTACTTTGTCATTCTGCGTTTTGACATATTTACAGCACCAATCCACCAACCTGGAACCAGAGCAACATATGACAACAGCGTTAGACAAATTCCTTCTGTATTTCCTTTCTTATGTCTCATTGCTGAGTCATTGTAAAAAAGGAGATTACATGGGGCTATTGGTTTGTACACAACCTTTCCAAAGTGTTAGCAATCACAGAAGCCGACAGAAACTTCGCACGAGACAAATAACTAGCAAGATAAGAAACGGCACTCATTCTGCACAAAACCAAAATGAGAAATCAGTACTATAAACGATGCGCGAAACATCTAAAATCCGAAACTATGATATTCAGAATGTCCTAGTTTGCCATAATATTACACAGATGATTCAAGAAGCTTAAGATACTCTCCTTGTAAACACACACCAAAAGAAAATAAGAAAAAATAAATTGGAAAAAAAATGGTATGTGAGAGAACCTGTGCAACAGATGGCATCCAGCACAGTGATTTAATAAAACAAAATATTTTAAACCATATAAATAGCCTCCCAGGTTTTCCAACGTTTCTCTTAAGACTAGCAGTGATTACATGTGGGTTAATTAATGGGCATGTAAAAAATGCCTGGACATGCCTCATATATATCTAACCTATGTTGTGTCATAATGGGCACTGATGCAAGTACAGATATTCATTACAAAAGTGTCAAATCCTACAAGCTGCACCCAAAGGTATGAAAGTACAAATGTGATGGATAGCAATTACAGAAAATCACTAACAAAAACTATATAGATGACAAAAAAAGATTATATGTTTATGTCAAGTTTAAGTTTAAGGACCACAAGTGTAAAAGCAACTTGTGATATGAATACTATACCCCAGTTTACGAACTAAGAAGTAAAAAACAAAGAATACCTGACTATACACAAGTAAAGGCAAGCATATTACCTGAGAAGTGGGGGGTTGGTACTGCAGAAAAAAGTATTTTCAAGCATCAAAGCAAATGTCACGCCACAATTTCCAGGATCTAGAGAACATGCATAGAAGATCACAAACTGCAATAAGAAAAAACGCAAGTTAATAAGGGGATAAACAAACCAGTAGATATACGAAGAGGAATAAAGGAAAAAAACAAAACAATGAATTAAGAAAACAGATATGGAAATTGTTAATAAATTACCTGGGCAAACTTCGATTTGTATGCAGTCAAAACAGTCCTCTTAAATGACTCCAGTAGAGTTTCAAAGACCTAAACACGCCATATACATAGGAATTAAAATGTGAAGAATGGAGACAGTCATATTGAGCATGTCAACCTCAAAATCAAAGAGTTGAAAGATACCTCGATCAAACGGCCACCAACTTCACAAGACTCAAGATGCTCAAAAGTTAACACCAACAAGCTATCTAATTTTTCGGCAAATGAATTACTCCCTGAAACCTTCGTACTTAATTTTCTTGCAATCTGTATAAATAACTTGTAATCACTATATAATGAAGGTTTAAAATCATCATGAACAATAGGGAAGAACAAGATTGATGTGAGAACAGAAACAAATATCAATAATAAACTCAGGGAAAACTGCAAACTAGCAACTATGCTTCATATTCTGTCTCGCCCTCCTCTCTTCCCCATTGTCTCTTTTTCCTTGAATTTTGAACACCTCTTTCCCTCTTGCATGCTAAGTTCTATCAACTCGTTGTCAGACATTGCATTAATTAATACCACTATCAAGAGGGTTTCAACTTGTTGCCTTATATATCCCCGGCTCCTCATAAAACAAACTTAACTCATAAAGAAATTCAAGGGTTGTATGCATGGGGTTGTTCAATTTGGATAAGAGTAATCAAACTCAATCATACCTCACTATCATCATTCAGATCATCATCCGTAGACTCGTGTACAGCTTCTAGCTCCATCTCAAATATTCCTTTACTTGAGTCATCTTCTATGTCATCCCATCCAATCTCCACCTGTAGGAAGCCACTTCATAACGTTTGTCATGAAACAAAAAAGAAGCAATTATTCCATTCAAATGTTAATTTCAATTTTCAATTGAATATACATACGTCCAAGTCTAGCAGCAATTCCACCACGCCAGTTAGCATTGGGATCCGAACCACTTCACCAAGAGCTCCACTCTCCAACTTTAGCATGTTCTCTACGTACATCACAACACTAAGAGTCTACAAGAGCAATATGGCATATCATATATTTATCAATTTAGAGAACACTGGGATGGTAAGCAATGCAGACATCCAAAAGGAAATAAAAGAAGAAACATATTCAATTATTAATCACAGTTGGAGGGAAAAGCCATCATTATGAAGAAGAAATGATATGATACAAAGCTATATACAATGAAACATTGGCCTAAACAATCATGGCCACTTTGAAAACATGTGTCGCTTATGTATATATACC